CTACACAGTTTTATCTCTTCACTGAACTACAATTCTCACATTTTTTCTTCACTTTCCACTGCCAGTTAATTGTCCCTTACCCCTTCCTCGTTTCTCTAGTCAAGCTCTCTTCTCTGCCTCCTCAACTGCCCATTTAGCTGCAAGGTGCATAGGAAATATTCATGAATATCTGTGAAAAGTATTACACTGGAATTCAAAACCCATGTCAAGTTATGCCCTTAGATTATAAACCGCATTCCATTTTTTTATATTCAGTACAAGTTACCACAAGTGTTATCGGGGGGACGGACACACCCTGAAATGGCAGCAAGAGGAATATAAATTTTTAGATGCCTAAGAAAAAGGTTATCTTGACTTAAAGCAAGACGAAGGGCAAACTTTCTGCTGAATCGGACAGACACTACAATAAGCAATGAGTTAAGTTACAGGGGAGTCAAAGGAAGAAATTTCTGCTTCTGGAAACATCAAGAAATGGACAGAATTAAAGTTAAGAAAACACAAGAGTCAGGAGCAGCTTGTCCCGGATTTGAGGACCGACCTAGTTCTATTTATCATGTTCTTATTCTGCCTTTCCTCCAAAGTCCTCAGGGCAGCCTATTCATTTCCCCCCCATTTTTATCTTCACAGGCACCCTGTGGGGCAGGTCAGATGGAGAGACTGTGACTGTTTGAAATACCTTTTTTCCGTTATTCCAGCTGCGGTAGTTCAGGGGTGGGGAATCTTGCACCCAGGGGCCAAATGTTGACCCATCCCTGTCATGCAAGCCCCTCCCTTAAAATTCCCTGTGTGAGGATGTGGCTCTCAGGACCAAAAATCCTGCCTCCCACCCCCTGCTCTGACGGAACATTTATTGCATTCAGACCCAATTCTGGGGGGACTTTTTGCACGCACAAAGCAGAGCCTCTCTTACGCCTCACTCCTATGCACACGTACCTGGAAGTAAGACACAGCGGGCCTTGCATCTGAGTAAACACACGTAGGGATGCACTGCTCACAATTGGCACCACGACTTTACCACATTATGTACCTGCGGACCAAAAAATCTCGCTGGTGCATAAGGTGACTCTCAGACTCACTAACAAATGGTCCTGGCTGCGATGGGGAAGGGTTGAAAACCAGACAAGATCCAGAGTTCCAAAGAGTTCCTGCTAACTGAAAGCAAATGCGAAGGCTACGTACACATGACAGTGATGGCCAATAATAATAATAATAATAATAATAATAATAATTTATTATTTATACCCCACCCATCTGGCTGGGTTTCCCCAGCCACTCTGGGCAGCTTCCAACAAAACAGTAAAGTACAATAACCTATTAAACATTAAAAGCTTCCCTAAACAGGGCTGCCTTCAGATGTCTTCTAAAAGTTTGGTAGTTGTTTTTCTCTTTGACATCTGATGGGAGGGCGTTCCACAGGGTGGGTGCCACTACCGAGAAGGCCCTTTGCCTGGTTCCCTGGAACTTGGCTTCTTGCAGCAAACTTCTCGCAGCAAACTTGGCCCTCCAGCTGTTTTAGGACTACAACTCCCATCATCCCTAGCTAACAGGACCAGTGGTCAGGGATGATGGGAATTGTAGTCCCAAAACAGCTGGCGGGCTGAATTTGGCCATCAGTGCAATTAGCAGCTTTAAAAATGTAGCAAGTTCACCCCACCCCACCCGTATTTCATCACTTTTTTACATTGTGGTACTTCTTCTTCTTCTTTGGTGATCACTCGTAGCAGAGTAAGATTGTCTTCCATAAGCACGGTTTTAACAATGAGTCTGTAAGTGACTGTGGAGGCCAATTCTGGACCCACACATCCTTCCACAGTGGGGACATTGGTTCCCGGGCCGGAGTTGATCACAGTGTGGATATGCCAAGCGTGCCTTCCTCTTAGCACGTTTCCCCCTTGCGTTCTGAGTTCGACACCAGTGGTGACATTTTCACCAGATGGCGTTACTCGATTTGCTTCCCCGTGCTAAACTCCTATTCAATGAAGCAGTCGTCTGTGCATGAGGAAAAATGCACCAAGCAGCAGTATTTCTCAGGAAGCTGCAGGATACGTATAAATTTTGACAAGCCTCATGTGTACTTTGCTTCAAAAACCAGCAGCAGGAATGCGTCGGATCTGGAGCAAATGGCAACACAAACAAAGCCGAAAGCTTCTAAACTCCTCCTCCCATCACACAGGCGAAGAAGAGGGCAGAGGAGAAGGTATCACCGGATCAGGCTTTCCCAAACTTGGGTCTCTAGCTGTTCTTGGACTGCAACTCCCACCATCCCTAGCTAGCAGGACCAGTGGTCAGGGATGATGGGAGTTGTAGTCCAAAAAACAGCTGGAGACCCAAGTTTGGAGAACCAGGCGCTAGACCAGGGTTTTGCCTGGCTTGCAAATAGGACTGAGTAGGACTGTACAAAAGCAGGATAGAAAAACTTTCAACAGTAAGAAGAACGAAAAAGGGTGGTCAGTATCAGCCAGGGTCAACAAGACAGAAACAAAGTTTGCCGTGATTTCTTTAATTATTATAAGCAATATTTTATATGCTCACTTAAGTGAATAAAGCACATTTCAAGTTGTATACTCAGAGTACTGTTTTGGGGTTTTTTTTTAAGGATTAAAAAGGTACTCACTATGAAGCGCCGCACCTTTTAACATTTGGAGAGAGAAAAGGCCCAGTACTGCGTAACCACAGAAAAAAGCCCTATATATTCAGATCTTCAAAGGAACTTGGTGATATGGGTCACTAATACTGCCCAGCGATTGTTTTTTCAAAAAAGAATATCATATAAAGCATTCCAGAAGGTCTAGAGCATGGGTAGGCAAACTAAGGCCCAGGGGCCGGATCCGGCCCAATCGCCTTCTAAATCTGGCCAGTGGACGGTCCGGGAATCAGCATGTTTTTACATGAGTAGAATGTGTCCTTTTATTTAAAATGCATCTCTGGGTTATTTGTGGGGCATAGGAATTCGTTCATTTTTTTTTCCTTTCCAAAATATAGTCCAGCTCCCCACAAGGTCTGAGGGACAGTGGACCGGCCCTCTGCTGAAAACATTTGCTGACCTCTGGACTAGAGGAAACAGTTCTCCTTTCACAGTGAATTCATTATTTTAACATGTTCCTTGCTGTCCCTGTCTATCAGAGCTTTCCAAACTCTGTGTCGTGACACATCCGTGTGTCGGCTGCAGTGTGTAGGGGCATCGCACAAATGCTCCCCGCATTCCCAGGGTTTGGAAAGGCGTTAGTTTAACCTCTGGTTTGCTGGTAAAACTGAATAACTGTGTTGGGAAATGATGCAGAACTGAGTTACCACATCGCGAAATGATGCATGTCTAAAAAGTGTGTCACCAACGTGAAAAGTTTGGAAAGCTCTTCTGTAAATGGATAGGATTGAAAATGTTTCCAAAGCCCTCAGACAGAACATCATTCCCTCAAGAGGGCAATTTGCAATTACAGTGGTACCTCGGGTTACATACGCTTCAGGTTACAGACTCCGCTAACCCAGAAATAGAACCTCGGGTTAAGAACTTTGCTTCAGGATGAGAACAGAAATCGTGCAGCAGTGGTGTGGCAGCAGCGGGAGGCCCCATTAGCTAAAGTGGTGCTTCAGGTTAAGAACAGTTTCAGGTTAAGAACGGACCTCCGGAACGAATTAAGTACTTAACCAGAGGTACCACTGTATTTCAAAAACAGCTTTGTCTCCACCCCTCCTTTTTCTTGCTCACTAGCTCTCTCAAATGAAGGCTTCCATTGTGGATCCAACACAAAATTACCTGGGAGTAAATCCCTTCAGACCCAACAGGGCTTACTTCTGAGTAGACATGCACCAATCAGCATCATCGGCCAAACAAGCTGCATGTACCAAATGAAGCAGAAGAGCGCAGGAGATGTTCAGTTTTCACAATACCTACATTTTGACATCACCCCCAAAGTTGCACTCCTCCCTTGTCTCCCGAGACAGACGGATGCCAGCAAAATATTGCAGACCGATATCATAATTAACCTTGCCAGATGGACAAAATTCCTACCGGGCCCCTGCCCCAACGGCAGACGACCCCATGACAGGCATAGCAAGGTCAAAGCGAACAACCCTAATTCTAGGGAGGGGGGGACGGGCAATCCGATGCACGGGCGAAAGAGGAAGCCCTAGCCTCGTGCAAGGAGTTTTAGCATTTCTGGCTGTCAATCAACAAATGGCAACATTAACTTCTTCCCAACAACAAGGGAAGCCCCAATCGCATCAGTGGCCAACGATCAATTAGCCCGCCCCCAACTTTGGAGTGTCCTGGCGGCGCCCACCGCAACACGTGCTCTCCATGAAGGAGAACACACTTTTGCAAATTTGGCTTTTCGTACCAAGCGACAAGGAAATGCAGTGTTAGAAACCTGAAATGGCATTTCTGCCTATTGTTTCTTCCCTGTTTGTATCCTGAAAACCCATCTTATATCAAGGGTCAGAGCAAATGCCAGAACCTCACACATCGTGTAGCAACTTGCTCCATGCTTTTGCTAATGTGTCGCTGCTCTTCCTACTATCAGCCCTTGCAAACTCGTTTCTGACGTTCCCTTCCATGCCCTGTAGCCCCTTCGTCCTGCAACCGGCCAGCCCTGCTGCACTCCAGACTCCCACCCCCCAATTCTAACTTTATCTGCCTTGACTTCCTTCTTCTGCTCCATCCATCAGCTCAAGTGGTTAAAGTTGGCCACAATTCGAAGCAAATGAAAGCTGAACTCTATGTAACAGGAAGCATTGGGCAACTGTTTACTGTAGGTGTATAGGTTTGCTGGCAGGTTCACAGGCAGATCTGTGGCTGATCACCAAAGAGTTCTTACTCCCAATGATGTAGCAACAACAGCAACTGCCCCCCCCAACCCAACAACTAGGCTGCTTACACAAAGAAAAGTTGAGAGGACCCATAAATGCATTTTACTGCATCGATGCAAAGAATTGTAGAGTTGGAAGGGACCCAGAGGGTCATCTAGTCCAACCCCTTCCAATGCAGGAATCCTGCCCACAGCTGTCCCCGGATGAGCTTGAACCACCAATCTTCTGGTTAACTGCCAGATGCACTGTCCCACTGCGCCACAGAGGACTGATACCGGGAACAAATTCCTGGGCAGAGATCACTCAGAGGCGCCACACTCCTTAAACTGTAAGTTAAACCCACACCAAGCCACTATTTTGCACTTGGAGCAAGTGCTAAATCCCACAAGCTTGAAGTACGCCCACCTATTCTTCTACATGGTTTTTTGCAAATCGTACATGGTTATGGCTGAGGAATACTCAGAATCAGAACAAGCCAAGATGAAGGGAGGGACAAGAGGAATAATGACAGATTTATGAGTAAACAGAGGGCAGAACTGGGGGTGGGTGGGGGGAGGAATGCCATTTCCTATTAGTTTAAGTTCTAGGCAACCCAACAAAGTTAAGCGCACCAAGACTGAGGGACTTCATGCTTAATTCTGACTGCTGCCCACATTACGTAACCGTAAGGGATTGCTTCAATTAGGCCTTTTGCATTTTAATCTTTGTTAATGCTTTTGGCACATTTGTTAGAAGTGGCCTTTGCACATTAGATCAAAAATCAAAACTGGAAAACAATGCTTCCATATGCAAGCACCAATCAGGGATAGCAGAGATCCAAGATCTATTAGACTTCACTCTGCTGTCTAAAGGAGAGTCCAGCTGGGTACAAGATGGAGTCAAGACATTGCAAGCCTTCAATGATTTACAGGAGAGTGTGCTTAAAAATGCAATTAGTGGATTTACCGTATTTTTTGCCCTATAGGACGCACTTTTTCCCCTCAAAAAATGAAGGGGAAATGTGTGTGCGTCCTATGGGGCGAATGCAGGCTTCGCTGAAGCCTGGAGAGCGAGGGGTCGGTGCGCACTGACCCCTCTCGCTCTCCAGGCTTCAGGAAGCTATCCGCAAGCCTTGGGAGCCCGCGGGAGTTCCTGCTGGGCTCCCAAGGCTTGCGGAGAGCGGCCTGTTCTGGGGGCTGGGGAAGCTCAGGCTTCCCGCGCCTGGGGGGGGGAAATATTTTTTTTTCTTTATTTCCCCCTCCCCCCCCAAAAAACTAGGTGCGCCCTATGGGCCAGTGCACCAGGGCGAAAAATATGGTAATTACCTGCCTCATACATAGGGTAAAGGCAGTATGGGCTTTCTCTTGCAGCAAGAAAACTTAGGAATAAATGCCACTGTGTGGCACAGTGAGATATGTAAAACCAAGTGAGTTATGTATTCATTTATTTAATAATGTTTACATACCGCTTAACTCCAAACAAAACAGAACAAAATACCCTCTGTGTGGTTTATGTACTAACAGGGGATGAGGATCACGTTGCCTTATCCCAGGCCCAACTCACACACTGGCTATCTGGGTCTATGCTAAATCCCATCTTTAGAATAATGAGGCTAAACGGTTTTATATTTGGGGCTGCGAGCTCGTTAAAAAAAATAGGAGGCCTTTTGGGATGAACTGTTTCAGCAGTTAAGCTTATATTAGGCTTCAGTTGCCATCTGAAATCATGGCTGTTGCTATGAAAAGGGACGCAGAAGTCGTCCGTTCTTGGTAACAAGAGTGAAAGGACGCCATGAGAATGCGACGCATGTATGCGACAGTGCTCAGAGCGATGCGCCTTTCAGCTCATGCTGCCTCTATCCACTCAAGGGAGAAGCAGGTACATAAAATCAACATTTCTAACATGGACTGCTCTAAAGGCAGCAGCTTATTTCAAAATATATTAGACACCTGTGCATTAACTAAATAACTGTTATGCATTTGAGGAGTTGGTGGGCTGAATGCCTGAGCCCGCCTTTCCAATTCCTGGATCCCGCATGGATTCAATTGCTGGAATAGGCAGGCAGACCTGGTAATGGCCCACTAAGCAAGGGTCGCTTAGGGAACAAAGGAAGTGGCTCTGTGCCAGAGAGCAAATGGGTGGGCTTTTTTCCCTCAACTGTCTGGTAGACAGAAAGACAAAAAGGCAGAGTTGAGAGTGATGTGTGCTATACGCTGGATGCAAAATCTCTGAAACGCAGAGAGGAAGCCTGCCTTGATTTCGGCTGGAATCCGAGGCTGTGGCTATGGGAGAAGCAGGACCTCCTGGTAGGCTCAGGTGGTATAGATGTGTAAATAAACAATATATCCTAAAGCCACCTGTGTCTCCTTTCCAAAACGAAAAAACGAACTCTGGGTAAGTGCCTGGAATCCCTGGGATCTCGCACAGCTCACTTATAGTCAAGAACTATATAACCTGTTTTCCCAGCAGTGATGTATGGAAGTGAGAGCTGGACCTGGTGTATCATCAGGGAGGTATTTTGCAAAGCCACCTTGCATGAGATTCAGGATTATCCTATAGGTATGCAATAGTGTTAGATTATTAAACCTAGACAGCATCTTAAAAAGCAGAGACATCACCTTGCCAACAAAGGTCTGTATAGTTAAAGCTATGGTTTTCCCAGTAGTGATGTATGGAAGTGAGAGCTGGACCATCAAGAAGGCTGATCGCCGAAGAATGGATGCTTTTGAATTCTGGTGCTGGAGGAGACTCTTGAGAGTCCCATGGACTGCAAGAAGAACAAACCTCTCCATTCTTAAGGAAATCAGCCCTGAGTGCTCACTGGAAGGACAGATCGTGAAGCTGAGGCTCCAATACTTTGGCCACCTCACGAGAAGAGAAGACTCCCTGGAAAAGACCCTGATGTTGGGAAAGATGGAAGGCACAAGGAGAAGGGGACGACAGAGGACGAGATGGTTGGATAGTGTTCTCGAAGCTACCAGCGTGAGTTTGACCAAACTGTGGGAGGCAGTGGAAGACAGGAGTGCCTGGCGTGCTCTGATTCATGGGGTCACGAAAGGTCGGACACGACTAAACAACAACTACTACTTTTCTAGAAAAAGAGGTGTTGGACCTCACCATGAACTTCTCCCTTGTTCTCCACCTGAAAGGTGCCAGAGCTGAGGTCCGGTGAGTTCTGGATGGGGGAAAAAGAAGCCCTGTGTATAACTGTCTATTTAACATTCCTTCACAATTTATCATTTTTTTATGTGTTTTCCTCCGATGCGAAGTTTATTTTCACTTCCCCAAAAAATATTTCTGTTAAAATATTTATATCCTATTTTATCTTTTTTTTTTTTTTAAATGCCTTAAAGGTGATTTCCAACATGCTTCATATAGGGTGCATGTTTCATTTACTTTCCATACATCTTTTTTCTGTCCTCCTTCCACTTCCGTGTTATTTTGACGGTATTTAGATGGCAAGGCTTTCGGACGGGGGGCTTTGTCATATTTTAAGGGCTGTGCAGTTCACTCCACACAAAAATTGTATTTTTAAATTCCTGTCTTATTTGCGAGTACACAAGGGGAACTCCTACGCATTGCAATCGAGAGACAAAATATAGTCGAGCAATGATGCAACAGCTAGAACACAGCATCCTACACATTCATGCCAAAATGAACTACTTGCATTAAATTAGTTAAGTGCCCACCAGGCTTTTTTCTTTCTTTTTCTCATATTTCCAGTAAAGAAGCTGGAATTAGTTATAAGTGGCTGGTACCCATGCAGAGTTTGCCTCCCCGACTGCACAGCCCAGAGCTTTTTTCCTACAGAGGTCAGCTTCTGTGGGAGAACAGGAGCTCACTGTGTGGCAGAGGGACAACAGGTGCAATTATTTATTATTATTATTATTATTATTATTATTATTATTATTATTACTACTACTACTACTGTGTGGCAGAGGGAGAGTGTAAGCAGGAAGGGGGGAGGCAATTGATCTGTGTGAAGTACTGTCTCCCCACGCCTCTTTTAAAAAGAATCATAATAAAATCCTAGAACTGGAAGGGACCGCGAGGGTCATCTAGTCCAACCCCCTGCAATGAAGGAATATTTTGCCCAATGTGGGACTCGAACCCACAGCCCTGAGATTAAGAGTCTCATGCTTCACTGACTGAGCTACCCCAGCAGCAGTATTAATAATAATTTTAAAGCGTTTTACAAGCTTTAATTCTAAGCTCTGCAGCTGAACTGGGATTCAAAACTAGCTTCTATTTACTGAATACCATGGATCCCAGAGTGATATAAAAATTATAGAGCAAATCATTGTAAAGTAGGACTCACTGGCTGGGACTGTAGACCAAGTTATCTGGAGGGTGTCCAGACTAGTGAAGGCTGCCTTAATGAAAGGAATGTACGAAACCAAGGATGGGGACCTATAACCCTCCAGCTGCCATTGGAACTATACTCCCAGGCAGTGTTAGAAATTAGCCAGGCGCCAAGTGCATTTTGCAACTGGCGCAGGTCCAACTCCAACCACGTGGAGATCACTGGATGCCAGGAAAGCAAAATGTCACTTAGAGAAGGATCTGAAATTTTGTCATTTGTTTTATTTCATGTTTTAATGCATTGCAAACTACTTTAAGATTTGTTCTTTAACATCTGAAGAGGTATAGAAATGAAATTAATAAATATAATAATACAGTATTAATAATAATAGAACTCCATCACAAAAGGGCACCTTTTTGTGGTGACCGTAACCTGAGTTTAAGGTGCCATTTGGTGATGAAATTCTATGGCTGAGTTTCTAATGCTGTCCATCATCCATAGCCATTGGCTTGGCTGGCTGAGGACAACAGAAGATGGAGACCAGACTCTCCACAGCCTTCCTCAACCTGTGGGTCCCCAGATGTTGTTGAACTACAACACCCATCACCCCTAGCCAGCAAGGCCAGAGCTCAGGGATGATGGGAGTTGTAGTCCAACAACATCTGGGGACCCACAGGTTGAGAACCGCTGCTCCAGAACATGGGTAGGCAACCTAAGGCCCGGGGGCCGGATGCGGCCCAATCGCCTTCTAAATCTGGCCTGCGGACGGTCTGGGAATCAGCGTGTTTTTACATGAGGAGAATGTGTGCTTTTATTTAAAATGCATCTCTAGGTTATTTGTGGGGCATAGGAATTCGTTCATTTTCCCCCCCAAAATATAGTCCAGCCCACCACATGGTCTGAGGGACGGTGGACCAGCCCACGGATGAAAAAGGTTGCTGACCCCTGCTCCAGAATATCTGGAGTCACAGGTTCACCACCCCTGAC